TTTTCTCTAACTTATATTAATTGATTTTTCTTTTTTATACTTTTATATTTATTTATTATTTATTATTATTTATTTTATATTTATTTATTATTTACTTATTAATGTTAAATTTTTCTCTTATACATTACAATTTTCTTAAATTTAATTAATTGTTATATGTTACATTTTTTAATAATTGTTTTTTCAATATAATTAACATATATATTCAATTATTCTTTGCATGTTTCAAGTTGTTTGGAATTACTCTATATTAATTTCTTTTTATGTTTTATTTAATTTTATTCAAAATATTATATATTATTGATATTAATATGTATTAATAATTCTTTCTTATATTTTTTGATTTAATTTAATTTTTATGTTATATTACTTTTATATGTTTTAATTTGTTATTTTCTTTTTTTTATTCTTATCCATTTCTCTCTTTTATTTTCTTCCTTCTTTTGTTATTCTCCACTCTTCTTTATTATTTTCCATCTTTTTTATCATCATTCTTCTTTGTTAGTTATCTTTTTTGTTATTCTCTTTTGTCTTCTTTTGTCTTTTTTTCTTTTGTCATCCATTTCTTCCATGTTCTTTATCATTCTTCTTCTTTTTTATCAATTTCTTTTTCTACTATCTTTTATTAATTCTTCTTCTTTCTTTTTTTATGAATTTCTTTTTCTATCATCCTTTATTAACTTCTACTTCTCTATTTTTTATTAATTCCTCTTCCTTCTCAGTTTTATCAATTCCTCCTCTTGTCCATCTTTACAAAATCTTTTTATTTCATATATTTATCCTTTTTTTTATTTTTATATATTAATTCTTTCTTTTCCTTTTCTTAGGTAAGAAGAAGGATGTCAAAGGAGAATGAAGATGGAGGATATAACAAAGAAGATTTTAATAACAAAAAAAATGGGAGAATGATGACCAAAAAGAGTAACAAAACAGAAGACACAAAACAAAATGGTATATGTAGATGACAAAACAAGAAGGAGATAGATGATAAAGAGAAAGAGATGAGGATAATAATGAAAAAGAAAAAAGAAAACGGATAAAAAAGGGGAAGAAAAATGGCAAAGAAAAAGAATAATGATAAATAAAAGATGAGAATAAGAATGAAAGGAAGTCAAAAGAAGATGTCAAAAAAGATTGATGACAAAAGAAAAAAAATGATGACTAAAAGGAAAGTTAATATATAGTTAATATATATATATATATACACATATATATTAATTATAATTGATTGATTTTTATATTATATTATTTTCTTATGTTTCAGATTTCTATAATTTATTTAACAATTAAAATTGAATTCTTAAATTTTAATTTTATCAAATTTAATTATTTTTATTTTCTAACTTTTTTAAATATATTTAAATTTTGTTATGTTTTATTTTTTATAAATATATGTTTTCTATTAAATTTCTTTTTTTACTTTAGATTTATTATTTAATTTATTATTTAGATTTAATTAATCTTTATATTAAATTATACAACTTATTATTATTTCTCTTACTTAATTTTAATATTTTATTAAATTAAGTTTAATAATTTTATTATATTTTTAAGTATAGATTTTGCAAAACTTTGATATTAGTAATTAATATATATTATATATTTCAATTTTCGGCGCGATTTTGAACGAATAAGCAAGCATTTTGCTTTAGCCAATCAGAACGCTTCTACATGATACTGATTCTGTCATTTTTCCGTTGGAAATTCTCACAATGTGACGCATTACCAGCTCAAGACACGTATCTTGGACACTACGAAGTAAGTTATTTTATTTTTATTCTTACCAAATTTATCAATTATTGTTAACTTCATTACCAAATTTAATAATTCATTGAATATAGTGAACTAAAGTAATTAATTTTTTAAATTTCTTTGCTCTTCGATTGTTCATTTATCTGTTGCATCATCAATAGCTTCTTTATATCGAAATATTTCGAAATAAAATTTGAAATCGGATATTGCTTCATTATAATTTTAATATTATATATTTATTTTATATTTTTTTATTTTTTATTTTATATTTTATATTTTTGATATTTATTTTATATTATATTTATATTTTTTTTTATAAATTATTGTTTAATTGTCAGAATGATTTTGTTGGCATAATGATTTATAATGATTAGAAATGCACGATTAATAAATTCGATATACAAATCGAATAGTCGAACGATTTTTCTGTAAAATAAGTACGTAGTTTTAATTATATTAACAAAAATATGAAAAATATGTTCCTATTGGCTTTTTAGCAGTATTTAAAAAAAGAATTTATTATAATCAATTTTATTTCACGAAACCGAATTATTTAAATGATGCATATTTCTTTTCTAAAAATATACGTAATTGTCTTGTATATATTACTTATATATTTTTATCTTCCTCTTTCGTTTATAATTTTGCATGAGGTTGAAAATATGATATTGTATTTGCAAGATATTTGCAAGAAATTGGAAGTTCATGTTCAAAGACGTTCTGATTTGTTGTCAAACTGTCGAATGTACTCTTTCTGCAATTAGATAAATTCAGTTGAGAGATATTATTTCACAACAGGTTTTTAATGGTTAGATTTTAAAATTTTCTCGAAGTGTGTGATCTATTTAGTACGTAATATCTACATATTTTTATAACTGCTTCTTTATTGTAATTGATATATTTTTATTTAATATTTTATTCAATATTATTAAAATTAGTTATTCTTTGACAATTAAATTATTTCGATTTCTTTATTCACCTATAATTCGATTGTCAAAGTACAGATAATTTATATGAGTTTTTATTTAACTTGGTTGCTACGATAATATTATATAATATTATATATTATATATTATTTTAATTTTATAGATTTTATTTACTTATTAAAGAATTTTGATTTTCTTTTGTGCAGGTTTAATCTACGGCGTCATGTAATTCTCAAAGCTGAGAAAAATTCCAATATATATATCATATTCTTGTGTAAAGTTTGAAGTTTCGTATGTATATATTTTTATTTTGTTTTATTTAATCATTAATAATTATAATTCAGTAATTATATATTACTATATCATAATAAAATTACATTTTGGTTAAAAGAAATTGAAAAGAATTAAAAGTTTGAGTAATTTTCAAAGTTTATTATTAGAAAGCAAATTTTAAATTGTCTCAGATATTCATAAATATTTAGTACAACATTTTTATTTAATTTATAATTAGTTAAAAAAAGAATTACTTAATAAACAAAAAGAAAAATATTGAAAAGATATATTGCTGATTCTTTTACTTTACATCTCTCAATATTAATTTAATTTCATAAAAATTTGTGTCTGTATTGTACAATACAGAATAATAGAATTAAAATTTGCTTTGTCATAGTATATTTAATATTTTTTAAAATATAATTACTTTAAAATTAATTAATATTAATTTAATATTAATATTAATTAAAATACTCAAATACAAAAGTAGAATCAATGTTTGTTTGTCGATTATACAGACATGTTATTAATTTATTTTTATTTTTATTTTTTTATACATATTTATTTTTGGTACAGGTTAAAGTCAATGCATCGAAAATGTTAGACTTAACATTCAGCGCCATCTCTCGATTATTTTAAGAAATATTTTTAAAAAGATATTTTTACTCAAGAGATAAGCATTGATATTCAATTCTTTTATCTTGTTCTTTTAAAGAAATATTTTTAACATTTAATAGATGGCGCTGATTGTTGATGAATTTTTGCCTCTATTGCTCCTGCTATTTTCTATCCTTTCTCTATGTGTTTCATTTATCGCACTATGAAGATAGCCTTAATTTCACAATTTTTATATTATTTCTATTCTTTTTTCTGTGCTCATTTTCTTTTTCGTTGTCCATACTTGCTTTGCAAGATTTATGAGAAATTTTAATAATCCCATAAATGACTTATATCTGATTTATATCTGATTATTTGATTGTTTTCACTTTTTTTTTTAAATTAAAAATTTTAACAGTTTATTCGAATTATTATTATTATATCCAATTCATTGTACATTAAATTTTGAAATTTGATGAATATTCAATATCATGCTTCACAAGTAAATATAAGAATATTCTTGTTGGCAACTCTGTGTAATTACAAATACTAATGTAAAGTATATTTTTACATTACAAATTAAATTGCAGAATGCGAGTGATATATGTTCCTCATGAAACAGAATCGAGTGTTTATATGGAATTTATGGCGATAAAATTTGAGTTCATCTGTATGGATGTAATGATGAATCAATTATGATGTTGAAGACAATTGAGACGTGAGTCGCAACGATAAAACGTAAGTCAAATTTTAATCCTTCAATCTAATTTTGAAACTTATTTTACTTTCGCTAAACGTTATTGATTTCATGAATAAAAAAGAAATTCGAAAAGAAAACAACTATTGATCAAAGAACTAGTATCCAATAAATAGTATCCAATAACTTCGCGAAAAAAAATAAAGTTCTATAGAAATTTTCGAATGGCCAATGCGTATAGATTGAATCGATTGAATCGATAAAACATATTATCAACAATTTCATTTTGCCCATGATGTCGTAACAAAACGAATCGGAAAGCATCGCGTTTTCCATCGTTCCGTAATAATATGATAAATTTTGCGATCAATTTGTCGAGCCACGTATATATATTCTATTAAACGAAACAGTGACACGTTCCACGTAAATAACGCAAGTGTCGTGATCGGTAACCATGGATCGGTATTTTTCGAACCCTTCGATTCGATTCCGTGGCTAGCCAGGTAAAATTATTATTCAATGGCTAACGTTAACAAACACATGCCGATACTCTCTAGTAATTATCCAAACCGACATTCTCCATTTTCGTAAAATTATCGGCGAGATACAACGTGGATACGGTCTGCACACGAACACGCGTATATGGTATCGAATTATCGTTACCTCGACGTTACACGATGACATTGAAAAGATATTATTCTTCAACTTTAAAATTTTAATCAAAATAGCATGAATGATCATTCGCCAGTCACAGATATTCAACAACGGATCGATGCATAATTTATTCTAGATGATTATACGGTAAGTACAAAAAACTATCGCTTTTATCTTGTAATCAGAGTACAAAAATTTGTGCAACGAGGGCGCCGATGATCATTGTACTTTTTTTTTTCTCATTGTATGAGATTTCCAATTAAATAAATATTTACAATTGGACCGAATTCGATTGCTCGATTCGTTGAATTTAACAATATGGAATTTTGTCTGAACATTCCAATTAATTGTTTTTCTTTTATGTGTACGGATGTGCGTACAATTATTGAAATTATTCAAATAAATTTAAATAAATAAATAACGATTTCACAATAACGATGTCCACGCTGTTCCGACAATTTCGATGACTAGTCTTCTCTAGACGATCTCGTCTTTCAGGCTCTTTCCACAGAATTTACTGCAGCAAAAGAGAGAGAAAAAAGAAATATAGTAATGAAATGACATTTAAATTACATTTAAAAAACATTAAGCGAAGAACAAAATTATCTAACTCTTATGAGAAATGAGATTATATCGGTTAATAGATTGCATATGATAAAAATTAAATCGATAAAATAGAAATGAGGAATGAAAGAGATTTTAATAACCGATATGATATGATATGATTATCACTGTCGAGAACACGTTCTTTCATTAACGCAAAACGTCACGTTCTATTGTTCAACGTATAATTAATGGATATATACTATATAGCTAAAGCGTTTCTTTTTTTTTTTTTTTCTTTTCACGAAATACTTACTAATAGAGAAGTGTGGGTATGAGTACAATTAACACCGGTGCAGAAACGCAAAACATCACTGTTATTAGAATCGCCGGGACGGACATGGTGGTCTTTATCACTGTAGGGGCTTGCTGCAACATGTGTAAAAGATTCTAATCTAAATAATTCGAGTTAAGCGCAATTTTTTCTTTCTCGCGGAAAAGCCTCGATCGAGTTTCAAAGTGTTAAACGAATATTATTCGACGTTAATATTCTAAACATGCGTCGGATAAGAAAACATTAATCCGTTAAGTAACGATAACACAACGAAACTTGGTAATCCAGGATGCAAATATTCTTCGAGGCCCGGCGAATGTTCTTCTTCGTTTCCTCGTTTCCGATCCCAAAGTTTTCAGCCTTTATTCCGTCCAACCAAATGCGAGAACTAACGAGACAAACAAAATTTCAACATTGGCCCATTCTTCCCCAAGAATTGGTCGGTAATTAACCGAACAGGGGAAACTTTCTTATTCCCTCCGATGTCGAAACTCGAGGAAAGAATTCTCTCCTAAAATCACGTTAACCCTATGGCGAGTTTCTTTGATTTATATTTCTCTCGTATAAAAGTCGGACATCGATTCATTAGAATGTAAACACGAAGTTTTGCGAGGGAACGAAGAAAATTGTTCGCGAGAATTCTCCCTAAAGCATTGAAATAACGAAATAACTTTCTCCAACAATATTTGCCTTTCTTTTTTTCAACGGAGAGGGAGAAGCTCGATAAACGAGTATCGAAATTGAAATCTCCCGGCTTAGGCCGGCACGTCACGTTTTCATAAACCTACCGTCTATGTTTAAAAGATATTCGGGTTATTTCTTCGAACGAGAAAAATCCAATAATTCTATCAATTTGTCCGATAACTTATTTCACGACGATACTCCCATCCAATTAAATTTCAATATCTGAAAACAAATCTATTCCTATTCCAAACGGGAGAAACCTAATTCCTCGAGAACATTTTTCCTTCGTTCTACGTAATTTCTATACGAAGAGCGAGGATTTCAACGGTATCGCGCGAAGATAAGGCACGACCTCTTCGAGATTTCTCTGCGAAATCGAGTTAATTTCATTGGCCGGCCGTTTGTCCCGGTGTTCTCATTAAAAGTTGGCCGAACAGGGGCAGTTCTTATATCGTTTAACTTGCCTCGTTTGAATCGTGCCACCCGGAAACGCAATATCGGCCGCGTGAACAGCTTAATCACGCGACAACGACAGGAAACGCAAGTTTTCCACTTTTTGAAAACTTATGAGATTCCCGCGTCAACCGATCAATCGTGACCAAAACTGAATGCGAACTGGATGAACTTTCGGCTTTAGAAACCTTCTCCCCCGAGGAGACCTGTTCTCCTACGCCTACTCGCGAATTTCCCTTTGCGAATTTAACGCGAGTGTCTCGAGAAGACGGGTGTCTGAAGAACGTTTCGCTCTACGTTTTCCTTGTCACCGTGTATTCACGTGTCGACTAATATTTCGCGACGTTGCGAATTGCCTCGTTCGTTCCAAACCACTACGCGTCTTTAATGGAAACCTGTTCGAAAATTCGCTCAACTTTGCGTGACCAGAGTTTGCACGTCTATTAACACTTTGGATACCGATAAATGGATTATTTAGCGCAATTTTATTCGTGAATCTAAATATAGGCCTTCGTCGGATCTTATTGATCGATCGGCGACTTATTTATTATATTTTTCTGGACAAGTATAAGCGTGTATCAGCAATTCTGATAAGTTGTTGTCGCAGTTACGATTGGATTGGAACGAAACGATATTAATTTATGAATAATTCATTTTTCTCTGTAACATTTAAAGTAGATTCTCGATTTACAATTTTTATAAGAATTTGTTCATTTATTTGATTTACACATTATTCACGATAGGAAATATGATCTATAACGTGATGACGCATACATCGTAACAATAACTTGACAATTATCGAAATATCGTATAAAAGATTAATTTCCTCGATACGTTCATTAACTTATTAATTTCGCCTTTTAATCGAACCACGAGGAGAAGACGAAGTATAACGCAAACGAGTGAAGGTATGTAATTAATATTTGCACTATCACGTTCCTTAATTGGACGCGTTAGAGATGGGCAAATACGTACCGTGGTTTTTTCCGCCAGACAGAGAACAACGTACGAGAGCAGAAGTAAGAGCACGGCTCGCGAAAACATTTTGCCCGACGAGCAAAGAACGAGTACCAGAAAGTTTCTACCTGTACGAAGTTTCTACCTGTTATGATGTTACGTTCGTGGAAAAGTTCACAGCGGTGATAAAAACCGACCGATTGACGAATCAACCATTTCTACGCGTGATTTTATTGCCAACTCTGTCGACGTGGAAAGATTATCTTATCTGGTGCAAAATAACTATGCGAAGCACGCATCTACGTGTGATACACAGATGCGATTTCGCGTGCGAATCAACGCGAATATATTCGTGGTTATAAATAGAAAATATTTTATCTTCGCGTTCACGTTTTAACGTCAAACTATTATATCATGGATACATCTTGTTTGTTTTATTACGTTTCGAGAAAATGGGCATTATTGGCTCATTCTTTCGTATCGTGCAATTACATTTATTAGATTTCCGCACAGAGCTTGCCCCTTGGATTGCCGGGTAAATATCTCTCCAGTTATATTTCTCGAGAAATTGAAATCAAACAGAGAGTCCGTTCGCAAAAGTGCGCTTCCGCTCGAGAACGATGAATAGTTTGATCCATCATCGCCGATTATATCGTATAATTGGAAAAGCAATCCTTTTTTTCGTAGCCCTCCAACCTTTATTCTTTACGACTTTTTGAAACAATTTAACACATTGCGAATACTCTGAAATCGAAGTAGGAAAAGGATATTTTGATATTTGTCGAGATCAGTTTTTCGTAAAAAAAAAAAAAAAAAAAGAAGCAAGGATAAAAATTTTGATCGATCGATAATTTTTCTTTTTTTCCGTAACGAAAAAGCGTTAAGATTCTTTTATAGAGATAAACTTTTATACTTTAAAATAGGTTTTTTTTTTGTAAGTAATTTAAGTTCAGAAGCGAACGTTATTGTCACGATAGAAAGTAAACTATGGCGCGTATGCATTCTAGCGATCGAGAGAGCATCCTCTCGACACCGTCGATAGGAAATTTCGAAACGGAAAAAAAGGGAAAAAAAGAAGAAAACAAGGAAAAATGGAGGATCGATCGGGGGTGGCGGAGAAAGAGAAAAAGAGAGGCAGGAAAAAACGAAAACTGTACGGATACATCTGTTTCCGGCATTTTTTGCTTCTCATGCCACCGCTGAAGGCTCAAAGGACATCACCGGAAATTCCATACGCGCGCTGACTACCGCTACCATATCCCGCTCAATTTTCTCTCTTTTTATTTTACCGCCAATTTACATCGCCCTCTCTATCGAGCCTCGCTTCGTTACTGCTCACTGACCAAAGCTAATGGAATAACCGACGAATCGGTGAATTGGACTCTTTTTTTTTTTTCTTTTTTTCTTTTTATTTTTATTTTTTCTCTCTCTCTCCTTAACCACTTCCGTTGAAGCGTGTATTGCTATGTGCGAGTTTCCGGTTCGACGAGATACAACGTGACTTTATACTTGGATCAGAAGACAAGGAAAAACGAAAATACGTTATCTCGAGTCCCGATCATAGTTTCGCGAAGAACGAACGAAACCTTTGTTACAAGATATATATACGTATACTTATACTCTCTCAAATTCTGAACGTTTGAAAATGGCACTTGAAAAATTTAAAAAAGATGGGGAATGTTCAATGGAGAGCGTGAAATTGGAACTGGAGCGTGAAAAGAATTCGATGGGATTGAATTAATGAAAGAGTAATAAAAATTCGGCGTTGTATCGTGGCGAAGTTGCAAAGTTGTTCCCTCGCATAGGGAAGGGGAGGAGAAAAACGATATGTAAAGTTAAGCAAAATGTACGCGTCTAGTGTGCTCATATTCCGGCTGGCGCGCCAACTCAAAGACAGAATATGTGGGGGAGAAGGTCGGGGAGGTTGAAAAAGCCAGTACGTTCTGCTGGTGGAAATGCCAGGAACACAATATTTCCACGTTTCCGGCTTTAAAAAACTCTGATTGTAGTTACGTAGATATACGTTCGCATTTACGTGCGCGTATAATAAAACTAGAAGAATACCGATAAAGGGAGCACGCCACACTCGCGCGAGAAAGGAACGTGGGAAGGGAAACGGCAACACTGGTATTTCCCATGCGGATTATGCAGACGGGGTAGCAAAAGTGGAGATTAAATTAAAATACTTAGCGGACGAATCGTGTGGAAAACCATTTCCAATTTCCTCCTTATTTTTTCCCCTTCATCTTGGTTCGAAAAATATCAACCTACCTTCGGATCGGAAGAAAAGCTTCCCTCCCGTATCTTTCGATCTTCGTATTCGGATCGTACACAACTATTCGTTTACCGCGTCTGAATTCGAATATTTCATTAAAAATATTACCTCCTCTAAATTACCTTTCCTCCTCCTCGTGAAACAATAGTCTTTCTAATTTCGAAATGGCGCACAGAGAACAAGAGCGTCTACCTTTCCTTCCATTTTTACACGAGAAGCACACGCGTGTCTTGGCCCGTCCCATTAAAAAACGATATCTATATTTCCTCCCCCATTGCTGAATCTCTCCGTTCCATGCATATTCATCCCGGGCACGAAACTGGATTTTCCTTGGCGCCGCGGAAGCTCTAAGCGGCAAAAAACGGGACAAAACTTTTTTCCCCTGATGAAAGAACGCTCATCGCCTTTATTATGCTCTGATGCAAGACCCGTGTACGCAATCTTTCTCCCGCTGGATTCGAAACTTCCACACCTGCCCCGACCTCGCTCGTCGTCGTTCGACCGTTTCATCGGATTTTCTCCTCTTTTCGTCTATATATATATATATTATATACCGGTAATGAAGATTTCCTGCGACGTCTCTGGAGATGCAGCGGTTTCTTCGAGGACCGACATGATCACGGGGCAAATACGTTGCCTCGCCTCTCTGACGAGGATGTGGAAGAGGGAGAGGGGCCATTCGCGAGGGAGAGAAAGGAAGGGATGAGAGACACTTATCAATTTCATTTAATCCAACGTTTCCTTGCCGTTTGTTGCTCTCGATATATTACAAATTGTTTTGCCGATCCCCTCGAGGAGCCGCTTGCCCAGCGGACGGAGAAAATACTCGGGCTTTTCATTCCATAAAATTTGATAAAGTAAGACGTCGGTGTACGGAGGTACCCGAGGGAGTTTCCCGTTATCGCGAATCGAAGATGGCACGAGTTAGTTCGATATAGGGCTCTCGTATCGATGACACTGGCTCTCGAGACAGAGACAGCCTTTCAAAACCTATCTATCCCGTGCACCGAGTTCCCTTTCTGTTCTATCCTTAATTCAGTTAACGCTGTAGTTTAGATTCGTGACTCGAAAGTTTGCTACGAGTTTCGATACTATTATCGAGGAAATATTGTTGCGATTATCGTTCCGATTATTCATTAATATCTTTCGTTATCTTCAAATTCGCGATTCGTACGTGTTGTTTGCGATTAAGTTCGAGTGTTTATTTTGAAAAATTATTTAAAAATAGATTTTGCCCACATCTTTAAAGTCCGGATCGTACGAAGTACGAAGTCGAAGTACGGATGAGAATCTCTTCTTTAAGATCGCTTGGCGGGGATTTGCGATCATTTCTAATTACGCGATCGTATCACGATGAATGGCGATTGTATCGAATTAAAATCTTAGATTCTTACAAGTTGTATTATAATATTTAAAGCTATGCTTCATCTATAAAAATATATATATATATATAAATAATCCTGGAAAGATAGTCGGCATAATTTCTCTTAAAAATTTGTTTCGCAACATCGTGCGATACGCGTGTTTTCCAACAAATGCGAATCACCTCATCTCATTCGTGTTACTATTTTGAACGAAGGTATAAACTCGTAAATAGGGATTGGTTGCTCACATTTCGAGTCAAACACTCCCAGAATTTAACTGATGGAGGATCCCCGGTGAACATATACAGTGTAGGTAGTAAGCAGACGAGGTATTTGCTTACTCTCGAATGTAATCGAAGCACAGAGCATTCTGTCGCGATTCAATATCGTGTGTGCTATTAAACAATTTGTAATACGATCCCGTACGCTAATTGATGATACAATTTCTCTCGCGAATCTTGCGTTTCACTCCTGATCGACGATTTGATTTTTTTTCGATGGAATTGTTTCGTTATTTTAATTTTTAACGCGCTTGTTTCGCACTTGTGCTTCCCCTGAATGAACTGCTCCAATTTATCATTTTTTTTCTTCTAATAAATTCTATTTGTTCCGAGAATAACACTCTGCTGTCTTGTGAATTAAGAAAATACAGGATATCGATATTGAATCGAATTACTTTATTATTTTACTTATTACACGGTTCCTTACCTGCGACCAAGTTTCACGTGAAAAAAATTTAACGGGAGAAACGCGTAAAAATATACAGAGGGAACGCAGTGAAAATGTTGTTACAACGATACGAATAAGTAGCACTTTAACGGGAAAATAATTAGAACAAAGATGTATTAAATTTCCGGCGCCATAAAAAAAAAACAAAAAAAAAAGAAAAAAAAGTTTAACAGCTCTTTAAAATGCACACGGTTTAGACGCGATGTTTGATTTACGATTTATGTACGCGAGGTCACTGTGTATTTTAACACGGGTACCGTGCTTTTTCTACCCCCCCCCCCCTCTCCCTGGTGACGAGAAAAATCGCGTTCGTTCGAGCCGCATACGCTTTCGAAACGACGACGCGTCGCGTAACAAAAATATACGACAACAAAGCTTTTGATAAAAGCAATCCGAGTTCATCCTCTGGTATAGAATTAACGGAATTAAAGCGCGTGCCTTTCCGTGAAAAGTGTTCAATCTTGGAATTCGTTGGGTTCAGGAGCAGAGAATATCGATCGAAGCTGTGTGACGCTGGAAACGATATCGGTACAACTGTATCCGTACGAGGATCACAAGGACAGACTTTTCGCTGCATTATCGTATTTATTTATCGTGAAATTCTTCGGCCGGAATAATTAATCATCGATCAGAGAATTGGAGCGACGAGCATGTAATTAATCGAGCTACTTCTAATCACTGAATCGTCAATACGTACGAGCCCGTATTAATTGCGTATTCGTGGCCCTCGATATTTCAACGATCGTGGAACGATCGTCCATCAGATATCGGAAGAACGATCAACCCCTCGAATAAGATTTAATAAGATTAATAAGATTTAATAAGATTTCGGAG